TTGCTGCCCCCCTGAAATTCTAAACCCTAAAACCTTAAAAGCCCAAAACCATGAAACCCTAAAACCCTACAACCCTAGCTGTCTCCTTGCTGTCCCCTCTGCAAACCCTAAAACCCTAAAACCGTAAAATCCTCTCACCTTGCAGAATATGAATATTCAAAACCCTAATTCTAAAAACTCGGCATTGGATTTCATGAGCGGTCAGCTTATTTTGTTTGAAGTTTAGTACATCATGGTAAGGTGTCGCGTCGGCGTTTGTGCGGGCTACACACGTGCAAACACGAGATGCAAGGCGTGCGTTGCACGGGGCCAAACGTTCTGCTGGAGACACATGCCAGCGATTCCAACCCCGGTCGTCATGCCGGTCGTCGTCCCTGCAGCTCCTGCTAGACGTTCTCCTGCTGGGAGAACACAAGCGAGGAGGCCAAGGCAGGGAACGCGTGGGGCCGCTGTGCATGTGCCAGTTGTACCCGTTGTTGTGCCAACACGGGCAACTCGTCGTCCGAAATCTCCAGCACCAGGTGGCGTTGCTTTCACGAACCTGACAAAGCTGCCTAGCGGATGCATCGACATGAGCCATTTGAAAAAGTATGGTTCGCGGCCAGGGCCACCCTATCCTGGAAACAAGTGTCGAGGTGTCGTCATGCTTGGTAATGACGGACTGCCATACATCTCGAGGCACAGCGGAAGAGCAGACGTGTATCGTTGGTACAAGCTATGAACGCTGTCCGCTTCACACCGGACTCTTGGCCGGGAAGCCGAAGAGTCTTTTTCTGCGCCTATGCTACAACACAATGGCACACGTTCGTGAGCGTGAAGGAAGCTTTGAGAAGGAGTTTGGCACAGCCTGGGAAGTGAAGAAACGCATCGCTCGCTACCCTGTTTACGGAACACGTGTTGATGTTTGGAAGGGACGTGCTTTGATGACCAGGGGTGGCAAGCTTATGAGGGACAATCTGGGGCTAAAGAGAGGTGCCACAGGTAGGAGGTTGACCGAGCACGTCATTGTCTCCCTCGAGAAACAGGAACAGCTCCTTTCTAATCCTGCCATGGTCAAGAATGTTGTGGGGCGGTCCCATTTCAGGGTTTTACCGGGTCGGCGTGGGCCCCCATCTGGAGCAATGTTTTGAGCACCTCCACAAGCAGTAGGTAGGCCGTCCTATGGTAAGTAACAAAGCTGCACGGGCAACGTAGGTCTGATCCATACCTGGAGTCGAAGTGACGGATTAGCTTGTCCCCAAGTACATGGCCTGGCCACGGCAGGGACCCTGATGGGTACCCTCGCTAGAGGCGTACGTACTTAGGGTGAAGCTTTTCTCCAATAGAGGCATCAAAGAGCAGATGGCAAGCAACAACCCCGCCACCGTTGAGGTCACGGACAAGTTCAAGTCCGATGTACGACTGTGGCTCAGGTTGACGGAGCAAAAGGCACAGGTCTCAAAGGATATCAAGGTTCTCAACGAGAGACTGCGGGAGCTGAAAGAGAGCGTGTGCGACTTTATGGCTGCCAATCAGTTGGATGCCTGCAATATCGCGGGGGGCAAAGTGCAGCTCTATCGCACAAAGGCCAAAGAGGCGCTCACAAAAGATTCGATCAAGACCGCCATCTCTAGCTTCTTGGCCAGCAGAGAAGGCAAGCCGAACGACCCCGTGGCTGGGGAGATGGCCGAGTTCATCCTGGCCAATCGCGCAGTGAAGGTCAACCATGCACTTAGGAGGAGCGGAGGGGCCAAGAAGGGTCAAGGAGGCGACAACAGTGCCACATCGGCACTTAGGGAACAGCCGCCCCCGCAAGAAGAGGAGGAGTCTTCTCAGGACGAGAATGATGTCTGACGCCGAGTCAGATGACGATAAGCAGTTGCTGCAGGACGACTTCTTTGGTGAAGAAGAGACGTTCATCTCTGCACATCAGGACGATCTGCTTGCCTGCTACGAGGAGGTGCAGGATTTCATGAGGAGTGGAGGCCACCCGGTCCTCGACCGCTGCAGCTTCCCCCAGTTTTGCCAGTTTATCTTCAAGCTTCGCCAGCTTATGGATGCCAATCAACGAGCGCTGCGCAAGAGGTTCCACCCGATCCCTTGGGGCCTGCTTGAAGTGGACAGAGGCGGCGTTCCGGAGCCGGGCGAGCAATTCATCAAGAGGGTCCTTGGGAGGGAGAAGTGGATACATGTGCATAGGAGAGCTATCCTTGAGGCTTACGACACCATCATGGCTCGATTGTTCCATAAGACGCAGTTTGAGGAGGGATACTTACGACAGGTGGCAGACTTTTGCTTCAATAGATCGTCAATGACATTGAGGGCACTCAAGGCCCAGTCCGTGTAATGTCTTCTTACTCTGGCACAAAGTCTTCTTCTTTCAATGCTGGCGCCTGAGCACAAACAATGATGTTACGCCGTGGTCTCGAGCTGAATAAGCGACTATGTGGCAGCCTTGGCTGCTCAACAATCTGATAGCATTCTTCGTCTGACGAATACTCGGGCTCGCGCTCCGCAAAAGATGCCTCGGAGCCCCGTTCGTCATCATCACCGAAATCTCCAGAGTCCCAGCATGGTGCGTCGCTCTCGTCGATACAGGAATGGTCTGTCTCTTCGGCTTCCCCGATGGTTGGAGCGGCCCTGGGGTTCTCTAGCTTGAGCTCCGGAGGCTTGAGCATCTGCTTCGGAGGCACAGGGGTTTCTTTCACTTCGTCCTGCCGCTGCTTCACCTCCTGTTGGAAAGCAGCCTCAATGTTCACCTCCTCAACCTGCGAATCGATCCACGCAACCAAAGTGGGACCGATTCTTGAGAACTTGTTCGTTTCCGTTTTTCCGGGTCTCGTCTTCTTCCCACTGGATTTGCCCATTCTTTCAGAGCATCCAGAAATTATGCGGCGCCAGAAGCTCCTCACGAAGGTGATGTTAGGTACTGCAGGGCTGCTGCACACGCTCTTAAGACCTTATCCTTGGATCGCCGCCCGTCGATCCAGAAGCTCTTGCAAAGCAGGGACTCTCACATTTAAAGACACCCTCAGCGACCTCCTCACAAGAGCGCTCAAAGATGCTCTCGTGAGCAGCGTGCAGCCTTGCCAAGTAGTGCTCCGTGAGTTGGGCTTCTTCTTGTCTGCCTCTTTGCGTGGCTCGTGTGAAGCACTCAGCAGGGTCTGAGAAAACATATATGCACGCTGCCGGTTGGATCAGTAGGGGGCTAAGGGCGTCAAAGATGCTTCGATACGTGTCCATCTCTACGTCCGTGAGTAGCCCCGCTTCGTGCAAGAGGCGCCCAAAAATGTACCTCGAGCTCACTGGAGATCTCTCCACTATTGACTGCTCCTTTTTGCCGGCTCGAAGGAAGGAGGTCAGCACCTTCAGTTGCAGGGGGAGGCCGTAACGGGCCGGGTCCGCGTAAAAGGCCCGAGCTGACTCGACCAGGTAGAGACTGGCTCCAAGTACACGTCATGGCCGGCAGCCTGCAGGCCTTTCAGCAAAGTCGATTTGCCTGAAGAGACGTTCCCTTCAACAGTGATCATGGCGGTGCTCTTTTGCAACGTTGGAATGGCCCTAAGTAAGAATCGCTTGTACAAGCCCCGCGAGACACTTAAGGCTTTGCAATTGTCTCGAAAAGCATATCTGGAGATGGACGAGGCTGCCGTTGCACGCTTTGCTAATCTGGCAAAATACGGTGACAACAACGAGAAAGAAGCACGGGGCCTGCAAATACTCTCGCGTGCGATCCAGAAGGACGGTCGTCTCGAGTTCCACAAATCTTTCGAGAAAGCTCGTGCCGACTGCTGCGTTTACATGCCTGGTGCACTTGCCCTTGGCATACAACTCAAGACCACTGGTGTAACCGGGGTGGACGGCCGCAATGGGACAAACTTTTACAGCTTCAAACATACGAACGGCTACACGGGCTTGTTGCTAGTCTTCATAGCAGTTCACGTCCAGCCCCCTCGCATATGGCTGGCAGAAGGATCCAAACTGGTCAGCCAATGCGTTCAGATTCCGGTAACAAGAGTCCGATATAGCATAAATCCTGATCGACTTCAGGAAGTGGACTTTGCTAACCTGGCCAGTGCAATCCACAAGATATATGAGGAGGCCTTGACAGGCTCGAGCAATTACGTATTACGTAGCCCGACGGAGCACGAGAAGCCCACGGCTCCAACTGCCTTGGCGGAGTACGAGGCTTTCAAAAGGCTCCAGCGCTCATTGTCAGTTACGTTCGTGGACCCTCCAGCCGAGCACATGAGCTATGACTACCTTGTAGAGGGCAAGAGATGGCAATTGAAGTTGGCCCGATACGACGTCAAAAAGGACCAGTACAAAGTAAGTTGCCAGAAGAACGCAGGCAGAGTGGGTGGCAAATCCACCTATAGGCAGTATGCAGTTGACGACTTCGACTTCCTCTGCATTCAGCTACCAGAAACCAAAGTGAACTGCTGCTATGTGATCCCGAAAGGCTTGCTGGCTGAACGTCGTCTTATCGGCGGCGCCAAATCCGAGGGGTGCATCCGTGTATACCCGCATCGGCCTGTGATCGCCAGGTATTCTGGAGAGACAGCGGGGGTGCACTGGACAGAGAGATACCGCGTCGACTTTGCCAGCGATCCGTTGGCAAAACTGGCACGCATCACTCAGGGCGAAGTAGTAGAAGTCACTGGGACGAATCCCACATAGTTGCTAGCATCTGGCGATAGTGTTGGGGGTCTCGGCGTGGTGGGCGGACAACATGTTTGCCATTGACGAAGACTATCTGCAAGGGCAGGTTATTTGAGTGGGCATATGTCTCGAACTTGCCGAGCTCCACCTCCTCCAGGTGGGCGCTAGGGTCAAACTGGTAGTGAAATTCGGTTGCATAGCTCTTGTCATGAAACAGCATCGCCATCGGTGGTTCCAATGGCCGCTCGATGGGAAGCGGCGCTCTCAGAATGTTCCTGTTATGGCGTAAAATGTACACGTGATCGGTTGCCTCAAGGACCGGCAAACGAGGCTCGCAAGCCCTTACATTCATGATGCAAAAGGGGCGTGCATATCTGATAGCATGCGTCATACCTAACAGCTATACCATGAAAAAAAGAGCGCTCGCTTCACAGGCCGTCCGCGTCGTCCTCCAAGCACAATGCGTCAATGAAAAGGAAACAGCACAGCAGTGCGTACGACACAAGTGCGATCCCAACGAAAACTGCAAGTATTGGCTCCATTGCTCGAAAGTCACTTGTTCTTTGATCATAAGTGTCCGAGCACTCTACTCTTTCTGCGGGCTCAGCTCCAGCCCGTCCAGAATGGCTTGCGCTCGGGCCTCACGGAAGCGGACACTGGACCCCAGGGAGTTGTTGTCCATTGTGCGTCTTAAAGGGACCTCCAGCCTTGCACTGAGGCCGTCGCGGGCTCGGAAGAGCCGTCCACCCATCTCGTCAGCTAGCACCACGGGGCGGTCATCCACAGAGGTTTTTGGATCGTATGGGTTGAGCACCCAGCCGCCCTCGAGGTCCGTTGCTTGCCCCCCGTGAGGCTCTGCATGCACCTCGAAGCGTATCCACAGCCTGTGGCGGGAATGGACGCCGTTCGCCATCATCTCGGGCGGCATGCACAGGATGCCAAGCCGGACCGAACACACATCACCGGTGCAGCAGCAGTTGATCATCGCAACCAGGCAGCGCTGCAGCTTCTTCATGTCGCCTTCGGCATACCGAGGAAGGTCCTTGTCAGCTTCAAGGGTGGCCACCTTCGATAGATCCGGCCTGACCAGGTCCAGTGCACGCCTAAAGAGCGCCTCCGGTTCAAACTTCAGCATCTCAGAGCACAGCCTGCCACCTTCGCCGTACCCCACGTCGACCAGGTCGTCCAGAACGGTGACCAGCAGCTCTGCCGTGCCGGCCACCCGTGCCCGGAGGGAGTCAATGTCGAGAGGGCTTTCAGTAAAGCACAGCCGTTGGATCCCTACCAGAGGCGCGCGTATCTCTTCGCGTACATGCCTCACGAATCCCAGCTTCTGCCGACCAACCTCCTCCGCACGGTCAATCGCAGCCGTTGACTCGCTTGTTCTGTGCTGCACCCGCGTCTCGAGCAACTCGTTGACCCTCTGCAGTTGCACGTGCTTGTCGTCTTTTTCACGTGACAAGGCTGCAATACAGATCGTCTTGGCACTGGTGACGCATATGTAGATCTGCTCCAACGTCAGCCAAAAGATTGGCGAGTGGTTGTCGCCACTGAATGGACCCATCCCCCGGGCGGTTCCGACAATAACCATGGCCATTGCGAGAAAGATTGCCCCAGTGACCTCCTGATTACCCAAAGCAGGTGTTGCAAGAACTAGCATAGCAGTGGCTGGAAAAATGAACAGTCGTGGTTGAGAAGACGTTATAAGCCCCCAACCGTTCATGAAAGTGAATGAGAATACTACTGCAATGCCGGCAAATGTCAGCATCACCTTCCATTGATGAATCCGAAACAGTCCGTTCCACGGGTTTGTCAGTGCTGGCGTGAAAGCATATATGCCACCGAGGCGGCCCAGCCATATTGCTGCACCATACTTGGCCACGTAAGCTGTTGGGACAAAATTGACAAGGGCAAGTAAGAAAGCAATGAGGTAAGCAGATGCGAGGGGGGCGAACGGGATCGGAAGAAAGAAAAGGACCGCTCCCCGCCAAGTTTCAAACCACCCCGACCTTTGTTTTGATACGAACTGGATGAGTGTGCAGTTCACAAGAGCTTCCAGGACGTTGATTGCCGCAAAAGCTGGGGAGATTGCGAGGAAGATTGTCCGGTGGTACCTCTCGGTCGTCAGGTACATCAAGAGGAGATGCAATAGTGAGCCGGCCGCAATGCCTACAGCTGCTGATGGCCTGCCAAAGTGGAGAGCAGCTGCCAGGCCAACCCCAGAAGGAGGCCAGACGGACGCACTATGGGTCTTGCTGTCCACCAGGAGCCTTCCAAACTGGGCAACACCCAGGTATGCCGCGGTGATGAGAGGCGGCCCAAACCACGAGCGCCATGCGAGCCACCGCTGCGCCATATCAGAGCTGCTGATTTTCTCCACCCAATTCAACCCGAAATTCGCGGTGGGCCTTTGATGAGTTGCTACACCTGTCACTTGACACAATATGCTCGCAGCCTGGTGATTGCGGATGGGAGGCACGGGCGATTCCATTTTGATCTCAAGGGACGGCCGCTTCTGATCTACACACCACATGTACACAAGGCCTCGACGCTCGATCTTTCGGGCGAAGAGCTTCGGGCTTCGTTTCAAGAGGTCGCTGCTTTCATGGAGGCTATAGAGCTGCCCGACTACCAGATCTATGCCAGCTTTGGCAATTGGGTTAATCACAACCATGTTCACTGGAAGATCCGGGCGGACGAGCGGTCGGTTCTCGCTTTACGAAAGAGGCATCTCGCGTCAGACCGCCTTTTTGCGCAAGGCGGAGCCCACAGCACAAGCAATAGCCGCGAGGAACATCGGGAAGTAGTCTCGAGACAGGTCGGAGAGGCGCCGCAGAGCGAGGCAGCTGCTCGAGCTGCTGCTGAAGGCGCTCCAGAAGAAGGAGGGTGTGCAGTATCTGGCATGGAGCACCTCGGCCGCATAGTACGTGCTGTGGACGGCAAGGGCACAGAGGAGTGCTTGGGCAGGCGCGGATAGGAGGACCGATCTCGCGTGCTTGATCATGGCTTTGGGGGCTGGGATGCGTTGCCACAAACAGCAAATCCTTCACCCTAAGTACGCCATGTACAGAACAAGCGGCTTGCCGGACGACCCCGAGGTTGTTTCAGTGCCCGGCGATGGCGCGTGCCTCTTTGCTGCAACGTTCCTGTGCTTCTATCACACTTCCAAGGGGAAGCTTCCCGACCCAAACAGCGCAAGGTTCAAGGCTGCCGTGCAGAAGTTGCGCACAGAGACGGTCAACTATGTCGTGCAGCACTGGACCTGGCCCCTGGGTGGGATTCGGGGCAACGTCACTGGGAAGGAGAGCGTCGAGATGGAGTATGCGGCGGACCCGGGTTGCCCAGAGATCGTTGACAAGGAGAGCTATGCCGCTCATATGGTGGAGAACAGAACGTTTGGAGGGCAGACGGAGTTGCTGGCGCTGTCTGCGCTGCTGAATGTTTGCATTCTCGTTCATCCGGCTCACGATCCGGAGAATGGAGAGAAAGGGATCTTCTTCGCCAGTCGCGCAGGACCCAGAAGTGTGGAGAGGCGCCGCAATGTCGGACGGCGGCCGGTGCTGCACCTGCTGTTTGATGCTGACACGCAGCACTATGATGCAATCATCTCTCAAGCGCGTTCTCAACCGGCCGAATCATAGAGGCATATGTAATAAGGAGCATGGCATGCACTGCACGTCAGATTGCATATTGCCGTGCACTGCCGGTGAGAAGGCATGAGACCTACACGGACGCCAGTGTGAAGGGTGGGCGTGCTGGGATTGGAGTCAATTATCAAAGCCGTAGGCGGCTTGAAAGCTACAGTCTGGTACCGTGTAGGTCGAGGAGAGCAGATAGCAATCATGCAGAGTTGGCCGCAATTTTTGTTGCAATTCTGCACTCTCAGGACGGGCACATCTTCACCGACAGCCAAACGAGCATAGACTTGATCAGAAAGGGGACACTTGATCCCCGGTTCGAGGTGCTGGTCCGATGTTCGCGGTGGCTGCTCGAAAGGAAGTCGGAACTAATTCTTGCAAAGGTCAAGGGCCATGTTGGCATACCTGGGAATGAGCTCGCGGATCGGCTTGCAACAATTGGCAGAAGCAGTAAATCCATTGTTCTACCGGATTTGCTGCTCTACAAGGGAGACTCCAGAGACTCGTTACTCCCTGGGGCAATCAAGGAGTGCATGGATCTCAACGACTGGAACATGTGGTCAAGTCAATCGGTGATGCACTCCTGCTCAGCATGCCCGTCCCACTGGAGCCACCTGTGATGAGGTCTCCTCTGCGACCAATCTCAATAGCTCTGGCCCTTTTGTCCATTCGCTGATCGGCGCTCGCCAAAGAAAGCCCTTTAATGGATTATAGATTGCGATCTCTTGAATGTCCAACCCCCTCTCTCGTGCCAGCGCTGCATAGAGAAGCGCCTGCAACACCCAGCCAATCTGCACTCCACCGGGCTCCATTGACGCCTTGATCTCCACCATGGTCGTGCCAATTACCAGGTCGCAGATCCCCTTAACTGCTTCAATAGAGATGTCAAGGTCCGTTGCTACTCCAAAAGTGCGCAGCATGTACGGAGATTTTGCAATGTCTGGTGGAGACGTAATCACTTGAGGCGGATGCTTGTCAAAATGGGGTCCTAACGGCTTGCGGACCACCTTTGCGGTTTGTTGGAGAAGCCCCAAATTGGAGTCCATGTCTAGACTGCCACAAGCAGGCCGCTTGAAGAGCAGGTGCGTCCTTGCCGGGGCGGAACAGATGTGTGCACAGGTTGCAACATCCGAGATCACGCGGAGGCCTTCCTCTGTTCCCAGATCAACGTCATTCTTGATGTATCGCTTGTACGACTCTCGGATGCCCCTGATCCGACCGTCAAAGGCCCGAGCATGCGCCTCGTCAGCGTGCTGAGCGTAGAGGACGCCCTTGGATCCGACGTAGGCAGGTTGTGACCTGATGTCGTACTCCCTGACGTGCTCGGCAGTCAGCCCGAACTCGGAGGCCAGTGCATCCTTTTGAACCCGGAGCTCCTCCTCTGTAGCCGCACGCGTGTCCCAGGTGAGGCGGTCCGTCCTCACATAGAGGAAGCAGCGGCTCGCGTGGGAGTCCTGACTGCGCATGTGAAGCAGGTCCGAAGAACCACCCGCCCGGATTGCACGTTCCCTGACCTGCTTGTCCACTTGCTTGAAGATGACGCGCTCCACGATCGACCCGTACAGTGCCTTTGAATCCTCAAATGCCTTGGGAAACGGGTGCGCAGCATGGAGCCTCTCGATGCGCGCACCAGGAAAGCGGCGGGGCAGAAGGCCACCATCCTTCATCTGCTGGTAGAGCGCACCACTGCAGTATTGCACAAAGCTCGAGACTGAGCGATCGCTTCGCACGTACGGGTCGCGCCCCCCCTCCGAGAACCTTGGCTTCACAACCCCCCTGCTCTTGTCTGGGGGAGTGCTCAGAAAGAGATCACGAGGCACCCGTGAGATGACACGGCTGACGGTTCCGTAAGGAGAGGTGATGTGCAGCTCGTCTCGGGCCCGGGTGGTTGCAACAAACAGCAGGTTGTCCTCCTGCTCCTGCTCCACCTTTGTCAGCAAGGACTTGTTGTGGCGGTCATTCAAACCGACCAAGTAGACCACAGGCCACTCCAAGCCCTTGGAGCCGTGCATCGTGCAGAGTGACACGCTCTCAGAGTCCTTGAGGAGCTTTGCAGAGTCCCCCTCTGTGACAATTACTTTGTTGGGAACACCCCTCTCGACCAGCTTGTGCGCGAGGAGGAAGACCTCCCTGCGCGTCCTGGCAATGACTGCAAGGTCCCCTGCCGGCCGCTTGCACACATGTTCTACCACCCAGCTTAGCTCCTGGCCCTGGTGCTCAAAGCAAGTCAGGGTTGGTGCCGCCTCAAGCTCTGCCGACCTCGCAGCAACCATCCGCTTTCTCCCCTCCACGAGCGCGTTTGAAAAGGAGATGATGGGTGGCAGGCTGCGGTAGTTGCGCGTCAGCTCAAAGGATATGCACTCATGACTTGGGAGCTTCTCCATCTCGTCCAGAAACCTTGCATCGGAGCTCCGGAAGCCATAGATGTTCTGATTTCTATCACCCACTCCGAAAACCCGCACCCCAAAGAGCTCGCTCAGGAGCCTGATGACATCAAATTGGACGGGGCACAGGTCCTGCATCTCGTCAACAAAGAGGAAGCGAAGGCCATCGACGTCGTCGTGCTTGCACTTCCCAGCGGTCAACAGGTCACGGAGGCGGAAGAGGAACTCGTCGGGGCTAAAGAGCTCTCGCGCGGCATCCTCCTCGTCTGCTGCGAGTCGTTCGGCCCCGATGAGGCACCGCTCGGGATCCTCAAAGGTGGGCTCAAGCCGGAAGGAAAGCTCGCTGCAGAACGAATGGATTGTCGAGCAGCGGACCCCTTCCGGGAGGCGGGAAGCCACCTCGGCCGCGGATTGGCGCGAGAAGGACATGATGCGCATGCAGCTGGCGTCCTCGTGACAGTGTTCGATCAGATGGACCACTCTGGCTACAAGGACGGAGCTCTTGCCCCCGCCGGGCGTGGACAGCACGCGGATGTGGCAATTGATCGGAGCCTCGACCACTTGCATCTGTTCATTGTCGAGCGGCATTGTGTCAGTGCTCATTCTCACGCCGGCCCCTATCCCTAAGTGCTTGCTTTTTGAGAGGTCTCATCACACGTGGAGAGCCTTGATGGCGTCAATGTACCCGTCAATAATTCCACAACGTATTGTAAGCCTCCAAGGCAAGCTGCTTCAATGTCTTACTCTGCAGGTATTCTCCCAGTCTCGAGGTACAAGGGCGAGCTGCTCGTTCTCTTAGGGCGCGATCGTGTCGATGGTCAGTGGTCGGACTTTGGAGGCAGAAGCGAGGGAGAGGACAGGAATGATCCCAAACGGACAGCATGCCGCGAGTTCTTTGAGGAGTCGATGGGGGTCGTTCTGGACATTGACGCAATCAGAGCCCGGTTGCAATGCCCAAAGTGCCATTCTCTGATCGAGTCTCGGACTATGGGCGGGCAGGTCTACAGCATGTACGTTGTCGGGGTGCCGTTCTTCCATACCTACGGGACGCTCTTCCAAAAGGTCGCTCGCTTTGCTCGGTACATGGATGCCAAACGGCGCTTTCTCGAGAAGAGCGAGATAAGCTGGTTCAATCTAAACGATGTCATTGCTGCTGCGAGGGGATTGGGGCGAGGTAGGCACCAGCCCACCCCGCTAAGGGACGTCTTTGCGGCCTCAGTCAGGCTGGGGGCAGAGACCCTGAGGGGCTCCTGGACCTTGGAGCTCTACCCCGTCCGGGCTCACGACGAGCGACCAAAGGGGCCAAAGGCCGCCGTTTCTGCAACACCTGTGGCAATCCCCGCTCCCCGTGGCGCGGGCAACGAAGGTTCCGAAGGTATCCTGCCAGCCTCCTGGTGATCCGAATCCGACAGGTAGCCGTTGTCGATGAGCTGCTTCTTGCTGAGCAAGAGGAAGGCCAGAACCATCAGGCAGAGTGCTACGGGCATCGAGGGCTGCTGCATCTTTATGAGGTGACCGGAAAATTGGTGGCATCGGCACCTACTTTTTGTGGTTGATGTGGTTGGCCATGTTTGCTGCGACTCCTATAAACAGAGCATTGATGAAGAGCTGCGCGAGAGAAGGCTTGAACCTGCGCAGCGTGGCCGTGCTTAATATCAGGAAGAGCCCGTAGCCAATCAGCCGCTCGTACTTGATGGCTGGGAGCTCGGGGTCAAAGTGCCTGGACAGGTTGGAGAAGAGTGTGAATATGAGCATGATGCAAACGACGTCAAAGCCAGCACGCTTGATCTGAGCCACCAGCTCTTCGGGCTCGTTCTTTGACTGCTCCATCTGATACATGCGCACAAAAAGCCTCTGCAGACTTTTCTCTGTGGAGACTGTACATTCAAATGGAGAACACTGTATTGGGGATCTTGATTGGTGCCGTCGTGCTGATGCTGCTCGTACCCTGTGCAACCAGGAGGGAAGGGTTCAGGACTTTGGTACGGGTGGACCGCGACACAATCCCGCTCACGAGGGGACAAAAGTTCTTCCCGAGAAAGCCTGCTGAGGCAGATGTGCAAGGGCCGCAAGCTTGCCACGACATCCTGGGTGGCGGCTGGTCTTACGCCTCTTGGCAGCCAGCCGCTGACAAGAAGGCGGGGGGAGTTTACAACTGCTTCCGCAACGTGTATCAGCACTGAGTGATCTGTCACTCTGGGTTATCAAACTCAACGGTTCGCTCAGAGATCCGAACAAACTGCCCATCGTTCTCGAGCTGGCTCACCTTGTAGTATGTGGTCCGATTCTGCAGCTGGCAAAAGCAGTCAGTGAGCTCAAAGATCCCATCGATGCCGTGCAGCTCCTCGACATGGTCCAGCAATGCATTGGTGCTGATGCTGGCAATCTGGCATCGGTGTGGTAGGATCTCCTGGATTGATTGCAGGAGCTGCCTGCACGGGAATGCAACCGCACACATCTTGTTGTCCTGCAGCCCCGTTGGGTTGCACAAAACGGACTGGCCGAATCGAAGGACGTGCACTGGCTCAGGCAGAGTTCCACGCCGGACATGGAGCTTCCGATCCTCAGTCTCACGGAGCGCGCGCGTGGCAGGTAAGCAGGTCCTTTGAAGAAGAGCTGAGTGCGCCATGATATGGTTGATGCGGAAATTTGCAAACAAACAAATTGCATAGCAATCGCATGGCATTCTTCGACACCTCGGCAAGACGCACCCTCTCGTTTGAAGAGTACAGCCAAGGATTGATGGACGTCCTTGCCAAGAACGGGGCGCCAAAGGTGCTGTTAGATGCAATGACAAAGGTGGAGGAAGCCATCCTTCGCGACCGAGTGTACACAGCACCCGAGGCCTTGTGCGACAGTGTAGACAAGACCCGGCTGTTTGAAGCGTTTTGTGATCTTGACCTCCTGTCTACGAGCGGGGCCCCAGCATCTCCAAGGAAGCCGTGGCAGAAGGTTGCTTGCAGGTTCTTTGAGGAAAACTGTTAACAGCTAGCGCCGCGGTCTCCGTGCACCGGTGATCCTTCTCTTGAGGTCGTTGATTTTGCGTTGGATCTCGTCGAACTTGTCCTTATGCAGTTCCGAAACGCACCACCTGGAGATCAATTCCAGATCTGCTTCGTACTTGCGTATTTCGGCTCTCGTCCTCGGCGGCCTCTCAGGAGGATTCGGGTCGGCTCCGGTGAACTGTGCAAATGTCCGTCTGAAATTCAAGTCTTGGATCTTACGCAACTTGCCAGACCCAACATCGTCCCTGTCACGGCATGACGTGATCAAATACACCCCTGATGGAAGATGATGATGCATCAACAATTTCAGCTTGGTGACGTAATTACCTGGAACGTATGCTGAGTCAAACGTTGAAAGGATGTCGTTGGCACCATGTTGTGCCCGATGAGCTGCGGTTGGGTTGATCGTACCCTGATCTTTTGACATCGGAAGCCTGTAGAGACCGTGTAAGCGGGTATCGTCCCTAAATTGCAAGTCCAAATCGGGCATTTTCTCACCGGGCAAGAAGGTCCTTGTGTATATGTGGCGGTTTAGCATGCTCAAGTTCCCCCGTTCTGCATCTTGAACCAAGTTCATGTGTTGCATCAGCCAGATTGCAATGCTGGTGTATATAGACGCCCCAGGGGCTGTCATCACAACGATGATCTTGTCCCCAGGGACGCGGAACGCTTTCCCATTAAGGTTTCCATGAGATGCCAAGCCGTAATATCCTTGAGACCGGATCCGTGCCAGGTTATCGACTACGGCGGGTTTGTTGAGCTGTCTGGGAGCGCTCAGGTTCAGGTTCGTCATGCCAGAGTGGGGCGTCCCGAGAAAGGGACCTGGAGGCTGGCGGGGATGCACTCGGGAGATGGGAGTCTTGGGTGGGCGCACACGGCGCACAGGTGGCTGGCGCTGACGCACTGGAGGGACTGGGGTCACGGGTGGACGCTTACGCCCCGGGGTTCCCCTTGGGGGCTGGCGTGGATGCACGGGGGCAGTGGGAGGCACGGGCGGCCCGGCGTGAGTCGCTGGTTGATGAGTGGAGCAAAACCTGGTTCCAGGGTACTTGATGCAAGCAGACGCTTTTCTACACTGCGTCCGCTTTACAGTGAGTGCTTCGCATGTCTTGCAGCCTGCCATGCAATATACAAAGAGGAAAAGCAATCAGCTTATCATGTTCAAATCCTTGGCTATTGCATGGCTGCTGTTCGAAAGATCCTAAGGAGCCACCTCATCATCGACTCGGCAGACAGGGACATGGCACGTTACCCATCGGCAGCACGGTACGAGATTGTGCTGCCAGAAGTTCTGAACGACGTCGTTGGCGTGTCCCTGGTACAGTGCGTGTTCCCCAAGAGCATGCCTGTCATCAACGAACAGGCGTGCTGGTTGGACTTTTCCGAGCAGGGCAGCCCGGCAATCTTCAGCATTTGCCTAGACCCCGGGAACGTGTCTGCCAAGTCGTTTGTCTACCTTTTGAATGTCGCACTCGCATCTGGCCTCTGGAAGAACACGTACCTCGCAGCAATAGACTCGGTGAGCAACAAGATCTCGATCACGGCAAACGGCAGGAACGCGGTGCCTTTCAAGCTCCTGTTTGGGAGTGGTCCGAATGCAGAGAACAGTCTAGCACCACTCTTGGGCTTCACCGTGGCTGATACCAGCTTCGGCCTCGTGCAAACGGCCGGTGGGCATGTGAACCTGGCCTCATCTCTGTTTGTTGACTTTGTGATGGAGAATCTCCCAAGCATAGCTGCAAAGCGCGTGGTTTCGAGGCAGAACGGGGCTATGCAGGTGAGGAACGTGCTTGCCAGAGTTCCTTTAGATTGTGTAACGGGCTCCATCAAGTACTACTATGCCGATGCATGTGACATGCTCCACAATTACTTCCAACCAATCAAGCTAGACCGCGTGACAATGAGACTTGTCAATGACAAGGGCCGCGCTTACCTACCGGACGGCCTGGACCACAGCCTGACTCTGGAGGTCGTGCAGCTCGCAATGGCTTTCAAAAATGACATTCTAAGCTCACAGCAACCTGTTTGCAAGCCAGTGACGCTCAGCGCTCCGTTGGTACCAACAATCAGAGCAAAAGAGCCACTGCCAGAAAAGGATTCGGGAGTGGGAAAGAAGGTGGTTGCGGCGGCTGCTCTCGTGGGTCTCGGTTCAGCCGCATATTATCTGTTCAAGGACCCACAAGAGAGCTAGCAGGGGGTGTCTACATCGCAGCCCTGCATGCAATCCTCTCGTACTCATAACAGAACTCCTCCTGATCTTCGAGGTCCTGAATCCTATCCTCTGGGTAACCAACAAAGTGCACGAGAACGCCTGCAGCGTTCTGTGCCCCTTCAGGGTCCCGAAAGAGGCGTTCGAGGAGGTCTTTGAGGAGCGGGTAGCGCGTCTTGGCCGGGTTGAAGCGCACAAAGTGCAGCGGGAGCCTCACAAGATCCTTGATTTTGCCCATGCGGTCTACTTCGCACGAGATCTCGTAGTAGCGGTGGTAATTCTCGTCGACCTCAAGGATGACAGCGTGCGTCTCAAAGACGAAGACGTAGTCGGGGCGCTTGATGCACGACTTGTCCCGTGTAGACATTGCATTGGCGCACGGGAGCGTCTCGTCGTTATAGGACCAGGGCCAGTCCAGGTTGCGGAGCCATTGGGTGGTCAATGTCTCCCACTTCTTGAGAGACGTGCCAGACCGGCACGAGTAGCAAGCCCCACCAGAGAAAGGAACGGACACTCCAGAGCAGACAATGCAGCGATTCCCGCCTCCGTGCTCCACACAGTGGTCCGTCATGCCAACGGCCGACTTTGTGCACCCATCGGTCAGGCACCGGCTGCCGCCCCCATGTTCTACACAGTGCGCCGTTTTGCCTGCTGCTGATTTTGTGCACCCGCTTCTCTCACAACGGCGGCCGCCCCCATGCTCCACGCAGTGGTCCGTTTTGCCCCGTGCAGCTTTCGTGCAACCCCTGGTCCGGCACCGTCGGCCACCTCCGTGCTCTATGCAGTGGTCCGTCTTCCCCTGTGCCCCTTTTGTGCATCCCTCAGTCAGGCACCGGCGGCCGCCTCCGTGCTCTATGCAGTGGTCCGTCTTCCCCTGTGCCCCTCTTGTGCATCCCTCAGTCAGGCACCGGCGGCCGCCTCCGTGCTCTATGCAGTGGTCTGTCTTGCCCTGTGCAGACTTCTTGCAGCCCTCAGTCAAGCACCGGCGGCCGCCTCCGTGCTCTATGCAGCGGTCCGTCTTGCCAGCAGCCGACTTTGTGCATCCTTCTGTCAGGCACCGGTGGCCGCCTCCGTGCTCTACGCAATGGTCTGTCTTGCCAGCAGCCGACTTTGTGCATCCTTCTGTCAGGCAACGGCGGCCGCCTCCGTGCTCCACGCAGTGATCTGTCTTGCCAACAGCCGACTTTGTGCACTTATTGGTCCGACAGCGGCGACCGCCCCCGTGCTTTTTACAGTGATCTGTTGTGCCTTGTGCCGACCTTTTGCATCCTTCAGTGAGGCATCGGCGGCCGCCTCCATGCTTCACACAATAATCCGTCTGGCCCCGTGCAATTGTTATGCAACCGTTACTCAGGCAGCGACGGCCTCCACCATGCTCTACACAATGCTTACTCTTGCTGCGCGCTACCTTCGTGCATGCGTTGGTGACGCAAAGCTGTCCACTCCTCTTCCGCTTGCCTGCCATTGCCTCTTTGAAACGTTGGTAAGTTTTAAGAGACTCTTTAACCTTAAGTACACGTTCGCACCAGACATCTTGCACCACAGCCTTCCAATCAACATGCCATGCAGCTGAAGGAGCTGACAAGAGGTATGACAAAGATGCACAGAAGCACAAGCCTCGACAACAAGAGAGAGCTTGACAAAGGGGTCAGCAAGAAGGAGTCTGCGGAGTGCTAGCACGGAAAAAAGAAGATCCAAATTTGCAGCCGTCCTTCAGGGGGGTACTGTGCCCGCCATGAGCTTGTTCAACCAGCTGTTGAATGAGTTCGATGATGACCCCGGCATCAATGCTCCGGGGACGTCTTCCGGGGCAACGAGTGGCACGCTGACCTTGCCAACAAAGAGATGGCTGGGCGATGTAGATGTGAGCGATCCGAGCCCGAATCCTCTCCTGGAAAACAACACTGCTGGGCGTGTCGTGGGTGACTACTTTGGGGTTGCTCGAGGGGGGCTGCTGAGCTATCCCGGCTTCGCCCCGCAATCGGACAGCAGCCTTGCGCATGCTGGGGACACGTACGTCTTCCTTGGGCCTGGTTTGGGGGACAACAGCAGCTCGTGGGCCAAGATCAAGATTCTCCTCGGGACAAACGCCGTGGGAAGTGCAAACATTGCACCTGGGGCCGTGACAAGCGAGAAGCTCGCCCCACAGACCACAATTGTTGTCCAGAACAATGGCGAAACAGTGGATCTTTCGTCTGATGACGTCAACGCTGTAATGTTTGGGCCAAAAGCCGATGGCTCTTGGCGCATCCTTGCAACGAAGGGCGCTCTACTGTTTCAAAGCTACAGTGAGGCGACCTCTTCCTGGAACGTGTGCAGTGCGATCGCAAGCACTGCAGGATAGTAGCTTTGAGACTTCACTACTGCGTGCCTTACACCTGATCCATCAATTGGTGAAATGTAAAGCCCGCACCAAGACCGAGCCCTATGATACTGCCAAGCAGCATGACAGCCAGCCCAAAGTACAGCCTGAATCGACTCTGCTGTTGCTTGAGTTTCTTTGACTCTCTAGCATAGATGACAAAACCGAGTACCAGCACTATGCCGCCTACGAGCAGCTGAGGCAACATGCCCAACGATGCTCCAGCACCAGCAACAGCTGCACCTGAATACGTGCGAGATTTTTTCGCGCTGACGGTGATAGTACGTCCGTCAATGTCTACCGTCCTTGCATGTGCAGCTTACTCGTGGCTCGCCTATACAAGTGAAGGGCTTCCAGAAGAGTGCAAGATAGATGTGACTGACATTCAGACCGTTGCAGAAGGCTTCATCTGTTTGAAACTCGAGCGCGAGATCGTCTTGGCTTTCAGAGGAACGGCCGATTTCTCTGACGTATGTGAGGACCTCGACCTTCTTCGCGAGCATCCAGCGTCCGAGATGGACCCCGGAGTGTTTGTTCACAGGGGCTTCTGCCAGAGGTACGCCCGATATGCTCCAAAATGTGTCGAACTTGTGAGAACGTTCCTCAATGACCACCCGAATGCAGCAATCACGTGCACGGGCCACTCTAGTGGAGGGGCAATTGCGACGCTCTGTGCTTACGACATGACCCGCGAGTTCCCAGACGCAAGGATTAGATGCGTCACTTTCGGTTCGCCTCCTCTGGGCAATGCAACCTTTATAATCCGCTTTGCAGAAAGGGTGAAGACTTCGATCAGAGTCTCTCACAAGTTTGATCCCATCCCCCGGCATCTTTCCATGTACGCGCACGTGCCAACAGAGTGCACTTTACAAGGACCGCACGGTATGAGAGACTGGATTTTCTTCTTGAAACATGCTTTGCGGCGGCTTTTTGGAATCTATGACCCAATTGACCTCCACTATCACACACTGAGAGTGTACATTCAGTGCTTGTTGGCACCAGGGGAGGATCAAGCACTCGACGCGGCGAATGACTCCCTTGCTCTGGACGCACAAGCTGGAAAGCAGAGTTCCGCCCCAATCCTCTCTACAGCTCAATAGTCTCCTCGCAATAATCACACCTTATTTCGTGAGAATATTCAAGATTGTCATCCACCTCAGGGACTATGATGGTCAGAACAGACTCTGGAACCTCAACATCACTACAAGCTCCAGTGTAGTAGCACCTTTTTAGAAGGGGCAATTGTGGCAACTTGGGCCGGCATCCTTGAATGTAAACGGCGGTCACCAGGGGCAGAACGTCCTTCAGAAGTGGGTCGCTGGGTATGTCGGTGTCCAATCTGTTGAAGTAGTACGTGAGTTTGGCACCACCTTGCAGCCTGAAGACGTGCACGTCGTTGGGAAGCTCTTCATCAGAGACAAGTGCATCGTCAGACTGCAGATTGTCTCTGATGTGGGATACCATCGTTTCCTTGTCCTTTGAAACCTGCCAACCAGCTTGATTGGGTTCAAAGTACCTGCTCTTGGGCAGGCCATCGACATAGATGAAATCGCTGTGTGCGTACGCATAGCGCCTGACTGGCCAGAGATCCACCAAAGGTCCGATGAAGAGCATCATCTTGGCGCTTGGAGTATTTTGAAAATGAAGCACCAAAGGCGACTTTCTTACTCTTTGTTCCTGCAACGGGTGGCACTCCCTGGCAAGAGAGGGCACCACCAGTGCCAGCAATTGGCTTGCATGCCAAGGCTTGCCAAGGAGGGCCTAATGCTTGACAGAGAGTGCGTTGGCTTAAGAACAAACAAACTGCTGATTCATACTCAAACGGTATGGAAAAAGTACAACGGAAGAGGCCTTTGTGCAGGTGCAAGCGGGCTCGGCCTACCTTTGGGTTTGAAGGAAACAAGCCCTCCCACTGTTTGAAGTGTAAGCTGGAGGGCATGATTGATGTCAAGAACAAGAGATGTGCATGCAAACAAGGGCAGCCAACCTTTGGGAATGGTGGAAAGAGTCCTACACATTGCGCCCGCTGCAAGTTGGATGGTATGGTGGATGTCAAAAACAAAACGTGTGTGTGCGGGCGCGGGCAGCCAAGCTTTGGCTTCAGAGACGAGCGCCCCACCCACTGCGCCGAATGCAGGGGCGAAGGCATGGTGGACTTGGTTCACAAGAAGTGCTACTGTGGGCAACAGCTGCCCAGCTTCGGGCTCAAGTGGAGACAGCCTACCCATTGTGCCATATGCAAAACTGAGGACATGCTTAACGTTGTTACTAAAAAGTGCTTCTGCCAGAGGGGAATCCCGAGCTTTGGCCTCATAGGTGGTCCACGCACTCATTGTGCACACTGTAAGACTGAGGGCATGGAGGACGTTGCGCACAACAAGTGTCTCAACGGATGCAGCACGATCGTGCAGAACCGCAACAAGGGCTATTGTCTTCGCTGCTTTGTGTTCCTTTTCCCAGACGAGAAGGTCTCTCGGAATTACAAAATCAAGGAGCAACACTTCGTTGACCACATCAAGGCAGCAGGCGTTCTCCCAGACACGGCGCAGGTCACCTTCGACAAGAAGCTTCAGGGGGGGTGCTCGGCGCGGAGGCCGGACATCTTCGTCGATGTGTACACCCACACCGTACACTCGGAGTGCGACGAGGAGCAGCACTCTTCCAGCAACTACTCCTGTGACAACAAGAGGCTCATGGAGCTCTTTCAGGATGCTGGCAACCGGCCCCAGGTGCAGCTGCGCTTCAACCCAGACAGCTTCACATCTGCTGATGGCCTGAAGCACCCGAGCTGCTTCAAGTACAACAAGCTCGGGGTGCCCGTCATCAGGGATCAGGCCATGTGGGAAGCACGAATGAAGGTTTACCTTGAGCGCCTGAACTACCACCTCACGCACGTGCCTGAACGCGAAGTGACCGTCGAGCACCTGTTCTATGACGGCTACAGCTGGGAGGACCAGGGCCAAACCAAGGGTGCGAGGCAGAGGAAGGCAAAGCGCAAGAGAGAGACTGAGTAGTTCTATGTACTCGTAGGCAGAGGTAGCATGTACACGTTACCATCCTGCCAAAGGACAAAGTCAGGCAGGGGGAAGGCCATGGACCAGTCAAATATAGAGCCATCAACAAGTGTGACTTTCAAACCAACCGAACCCTTGCCAGATAGGTCCGTGTTTGAACTGTAATATGCTCCCCAACCCTCCACCTTTTTTCCTGGAAAGTGTTCCCCATTGCTTGTTAAAAAGTCAATTGACTCAACCTCACCTACCCCAGGCAATCGTGCAACATACAAGGCCCCCGCATATCGATTCCACTTCATGATCCTGACAACTGCTCCATCATTGTTCCAGTTTGGGTGGCCCATGGTCTCGCAAGATACTCGGGTCCAAACCCCAGTAAATTCTCCTCCTTGCGAACAATCGATCCCGTACCCCTTGTCGAGGGACTGGAAGTAACTGAATTCAGAACAACAAAGATCAAGGTGCGCTCTTTTGGGTGGCCAGTCCCGCTCCCCTAGGCTGTCAATTGCATCGGTAACATCCGTGATCGTGTAACCGCGTGCCAGGCCATTGTAATGAAGAACCCCGCAGGCTCCGCAACCCCCTAAGAATTCGAAGTTTCCACTAGCGGCATGCAACGGGTACAAGGCGTTCTTCAAAAAGTCCGTTCCTCCTGCTGCGGTATTCCCAAATCCACACATCCCCAAGCCGTCGCTGCACCGCATGCCCGGACTCTCATAGAAAGTGACCGAAACTGGGGAGCTGCTCCCCAACGGCAGCGGAGCGGTCCCTTGCTCCGCCTGCAGCAGCCTGCGCGTTGTGGTCGCAGGTGCCTGATCGTTCAGGGCGTCAAGCACTGCGCTGTACGCCGGCTTCTTTGTGTATTTCATGTCAAACAGCAGCGGTTTCTCATTGGGGCCAATCTGAGTTAGCAACCACGAGTCAGAGTCACGAACACCCCATGTGGTTATTGCCTTGCAAGCCCTTTGTGACATGCAGATGGAGACCACCTTCTTGTAGAAGTCTGCTTGGGCCTTCAGCTTGTCCTGATCGCTGCCAGGAAACTTGAGGTACTGCACGTCCAGCTCGGAGATCATGATGAAAAGCCCGAGATCCGCAAATCTCTGCATGTTTGTCGCCATGTCCGTCAGCTTTTCTGTGCCATCAAAGTGGCTCTGGAAGCCCACGCCGTGGATAGGGACCCCCTTTTTCACCAGGCGGCTGACCATGTCGTAGAACCTCTGTGACTTGTCCGTCATCAGCTCTACCCCGTAATCATTGGCGAGCAGCAGAGCGTCCGGGTCGGCTGCATGGGCCGCACGGAAGGCAGCCTCGACGTAGCCTGTGCCCAAACGGCTCTGATACACTGTTCCTTTCATCCCGTCCTGGCTGCCGGGATTATCATCGATCACCTCATTCAGAACATCCCAGTATTTTACCTTTCCCTTGTAGTGCGTTACCACCCCGTTTATATGGTCGACCATTGCCTTTTGAAGGTCCCCAACACCCGCAATCCAGCCCGGAAGCTGCTGGCCCCACACCAAGCAGTGTCCCTTGACCGTCATGTTGTTCTGGGCAGCAAAGGCGACAAGCGCATCACCTCCCCCAAAGCTAAAACTCCCCTGATTAGCTTCCGTTGCGTCAAACTTCATGCAATTCTCACAGGTCACAAAGTTAAAGTCAGCTTTTAATGCCCGGGCGTATTGTGGGTCGCTTAGCTTCTGGTCATCGACAGCTGTCCCGATTAAACGGTTTGTCCGTGCCGCCGCTAGCTTGAGGCCCCCACCGCTAGTGCCGGCCGGCATCAGTGGTGCTGCTGACCTGCAGATCAGGTCCACTCCGGCAGCGGCTCCTTCCACGTATACGATGAGCTTGTCCCCCTTTGAAGGATTGAACGCCCCGTCGACCCCATAATTGACCGAGAGGGTTGCCCAGTTGCCAAGTGATACGTTAGCAGAGGCCATGTTTGGGTTCCATGCTATGCTGCCCAGGTGCTCAGCGATGCTCATCTTCAGGGTGCCCGCCCCGATAGCCACCGTGCACTCTGTGTTCAGAGTGTAGGTGGTGCCTCCCTGAACAAGCTTTGATACGTCCCAGCTAGGCCCGGAGAACGTGTGCTCCCTGTTTGTGGCGGCCACCGATCCGTCTGGGCGGTGCATGATATCACAATAGCCGAAGCTCTGAGCCGTCGATGGGTCGAGGAATGTACAGTGGGTCGGCAGGACGGAGAGCAACAGAAGCAGCACAGGGAGGAACACCGGAGCCATGTCCTTTAGCCAGATTTTTGCGGCCTGCGTCACACAATGAGCTGCTTGAAAGTATGCGTATGAGAACGATGTTGCTTCCTGTGCTTGTATTCCTTTGCCTTACCCTTGCGCTAATCTTGTACCGTAATGTGCTGCGATCGAGCTTGGTGGAACGAGCCACGTTCTCAAACAGCAGCATGGAGGTGAATGTCACCAAGCTGGTTCGCCGGCACCTGCTCTCCACATCAACGCTTTCAATAGTGGATATTGTCCCCAAGGACCTGATTGAGATCGACGAGCAGCCCCAGCTAGAGATCCTCTTGAACCAAGGCCGGGGCTCCAAGGTGCTGCTCAAGCTGACTGAACGAGAGTCGTTCGATGTGGCCAGGGGCGTGCAAAGTGAACACATTTCCGGAGCCAATGAATAGGATTCATGCAGTCCATCCAAGGAGTTGTTTTTTCTGCTGCGGGCTTTGAGGGATTCATCCATCTTGGTGTCCTCGAAGCGCTGCAAGAATCTGGGATGCTTGACAAAACCACGCGCTTCGTGGGTACCAGTGCTGGGAGCATCATTGCAGCATTTGCAGCACTGGGAATCAGTGCAAAGGATGTCTCCAAGTCGATCATCGAAAGACGCCTGGACTTTGCGAGCATCATGGACCTGAGCATTATTAGGTTTCTGGAGATCATGGGCCTCAGCGATGGCAAGCGTCTCTTTGAGGAGGTGGAAACCTACATGGACATGGGGTGGCGAGCTGGTGAACCAAAGACATTCACTTCGCTGCGGGCACGTGGCAAAGAGTTGTGCATGTTCGGAACTGGGCTCGACTCTTGCTCAGCCTTGACATTTGATGCAGATACCACACCAAACATGCCAATCATGGAGGCAATAAGGATCAGCTGCAGCATTCCATTTCTGCTACCATTCTGCATGCATGGTGGCGAGGTGTGTGTGGACGGTGCTATCATGCGGTACTTTCCTTATGAAGAGCTGGATGACATCCCGAATCACAGCAAGATAGGAGTTTGCATACTGGGAGCTGACCGCATACTTGGCAAGGAGCTCAACATGTACGCATACTTCTGCATGCTTCTGGCAGCAGCACTGCGGTTGTGCCCCGCACCAGCGAATGATGAATGTAGCATACTGCGCATCAAGACCAAACCAGAGAAGACACTTCCAGGTGCAGCAGAGATTGAGAGGATGGTGGCCAGGGGTAATGCAGAGATGGCCACCTTCATCAAGATACGAGCAAAGGCAAAGCCTGATTGATGATGTTCTAAAGTTTACCTCAGCTTGTACAAATGATCCTTCCTCAGCATAGCCCGGTGTGAGCGCAAGCAGCAGTCGAGTACCAAGACAGGTCTACTCATACAGCTTGTATTGGCAGTTGCTCTATGCCTCAAGTAAGCATCAAACCCGTACATGGCCCCCGGCTTTGTGGTCATCTTTGCACTTCCTCCCGGGCAGAGCACCTCAGTTGGCCCTTGGTCTCCACTGACCTCCACAAACGGCAGCATGAAGACAATCAAGACTGTGGGCTTGCACAGACATCAATATCCCTGTGCAGCATCTGCTCGCTTGATTTGGCATCATTTGTAATGACTCTGGAGCTCAACAAGACATACTGATCCCCCAGCGCAGCGGTGAGCCGCTTCCAAACAAGATCTCGCAGAGGTTTCAACCCCCTTGGGCATGGCATGTCATAGAGCTTGCATGCTCTCTCCGTGACCAGAGGGCTGCCCCTTTCTAACAAGCGCTGTAGTTCTGTCTTACAGACTCGGAAGCCATCGACAAGCTGATCATTGTCAACCCAGCCCTGCCCCACCCAAGAACCATTGTCACTGATGCTATCCAAAATGACGGCTTGCCCTGCAACTTCTGCCGTGCTTGCATGCCCCACCGAGCCTTTCGAGGCTTGCTGCCCCTCCTGCAGCTGTCCAGAGACGTGACTGTCTGCCAACGTGGCAACCTGCTCCTCCAGCTCTGCTTCCCGCCTCTCCAACCTTTCCAGCCGTGTCACCAAGTCCACCTGATCCCTGTTGCCAGATCTTGTCTTTGCTGATGGCGTTTTCACACTCACCCCCCTTTGAGACCTCAGCCGCTTGAGACATGATTCTGTCAAATAATATTTGTGCTTGCTGAGGGGTAGCTTTGACACAATATAGTCTTTTCCTTGCTCGAACAAGGAGGCATTTTTCAATCTAGCAACCACGTGTGACTTTCTGCTGTAACAGCCACTTAAAGAACGCAGGGCTTCATCCAAGTCAACAGCGAACTTGGCGCTCCTGAAGGCTGCTGCGATGGGTGTGTCTTCCATGGACCTCCCCAAAAGCGGCTCAGTACTAATAAGCCGGACCCTCAAACTAGGACGCGGCAGCAATTTTAAAATCGCGTTACGAGACCCCTAGACTGGTGACGCGTCACCAGTACTGAAGTCGCGTCTCAAGACCATTGGGCCGTGATTCATTG